TTGAACCGCCAGCCTTTTGGTTAGCAGTCAAGTGCCTTAGGCACTACGCTACCAGAGCTCCCCTGAGAGGATCTAAAACGGGGGTGGAGTTTCTTTTCACTGTCAAGATCACAGGATGCCGGTATTTCACCACGGCCAGACACCTCTGACCCTGTGGCTTGCTTTTGAACTTTACGTTCCTCTTCTGAACTGACTATCTCGAGAAAGAGACACGGTTGCACGTGGCGGGGAGAAGTGTGTTGACCCGTGAGGCTGCACCGAGCCTGGGAGGTGTGGGTTAGGAGGACCGAGACTTGGGGATGGGAAAGAATGGTGTGTATTTACCTGTCCATAGCTTTGTTTGTTTTGCTTCCTAGCTTTCTGGGAGAGCTCACCTCCAGGTAAGCCTCTTCACCTTTCTCTCTGCTTGATTCCCAGGGTGTCAAGCCCGCAAACCTGGGTTCAAACACAGTAGCTGGTGTCAGATCTGGTTTCAGGACACTTGTGCTCGGAGCAGGGGAACTGCCTTCAGATGTGTCATTATGACTTGGCTGAGATGGGAGGCCACGATGCTCGTTTGAGATCATCGCTGGGCCTGCTCTGGGCAAGGACACACACACACACACACACACAGGGTCAGAAAACTGTCTTGCTCCATGGGGTGAATTACACATAACATTTTTAAGCATTTTAAAGTGGACAGTTCGGTGGCAGGAAGTCCAGTCACAGTGTTGTGCAGCCGCTCCCACTGCCTAGCTGTAGGAGCCTTTCATCACCGGAGAGAAGCCTCTTGCTCATTAAGCAGCCACTCCCCATCCCCTTCCCTCTGGTCCCTGCCAACCTCCAGTCTCCTGTCCGTCTTTACAGACTCGCCAGTTCTGGGCTTTTCATAGAAATGGAATCACACAACACTTGTCCTTTTGTGACTCTTACACTCAGCGTCATGTTTTCAAGGCTCATCCATGTTCTAGTGGGTATCGGCCCTTCATTCCTTTTCATGGCTGAATAATACTCCACTGCAGGCCAGACCTCGTGCCGTGTATCCATTTGCCTGTTCATGGACGCTTGGGTTGTTTGCACCTTTTGGCTGTTGTGAATGGTGATGGCTGCCTTCTAATCAGGCACAAAGAAGGAGCAAGTTAGGGAGTGTCTGGGACAGGCACTGACCTTCCAGGCCCCTTGACCTCAACTCCTATCATCTCTCTCCCTCACATGGAACCTCAGGGGTTCCTTGACACCCAGACCCCTTCTGCATCTGAATCTGACAGGGTGGCTTCACTGTAAAGACATGTGCTTGGACCAGGCAGCTCTCTGGGTAGGAGGCAGTGGGTCTGGGGTGAAACAAGGAGGCACCCTTGTGGCCCCTCCTCCCACCGTTCCAGTCTTCATCCGTCTGAATTTCCCTTCCGCTTTTTTGTCCTGACTGCTTTTCTTCCTTTTTCTGTACAGTTCTAAGTTGCCCTGAAGCCCTTTGGCATCCTGCGGACTCCCCCGACCTTTGTTCTGCTCCTTAGCAGGTTACTTTGTGTCCTATCCCACAACACACCAGCCTCACAGAGATTTTCAAATATAAAACATAGTTCACTTTCATGCAAAAACAAAACAAAAACAAAAACAAACTTTAACTGTCCTTTCTTCAGGGTCTCACCTCTTTTGTCCCCACAATGTCATAATACTGTAACCAATAGCCAACTGTTCTGATTACCTAGTGCCGCTCTGACAAGAATATACCACAAATGGGATGGTCTTAACAAACAGGAGTTTATTCTCGTAGGCTCTGGGGGAAGGCGTGGTCCCCGTGGGCTCTGGGGGAAGGCGTTGTCCCTGTGGGCTCTGGGGGAAGGCCCTTCCTTGTCCTTTCCCGCCTCCTCGACTCCTTGGCCATCTCCACAGGGCATGTGTCTTCCTTCCGTTTGTGCTCTCTTCCTGGTACCCAGTCTGCTCCTTTCATACGTCAGACATGATTGTTTACACTCTACGCTGGTGGGGTCTCATTAACAGCAAGGAGAGGCCATTCCCCAAGGGGGTCCCATCCACAGGGTTAGGGATGTAGGGTTTGCCTCATGTATTGTTGAGGGCCCAGCTCACTTCACAACAATGTGGCTCCCGGCTATGAGCATCAACGGAGGAGAAAGACCACTCTGCCCTCTTTGACCTTCTAGAGGGGAAATGCCATGAAAGGACCCCTCCCTGCCCCAGTACCAAAAGTGCTAGGATTTTGACGGCTTGCTGGACTTCTCCATTCCCCAGAAAGAGCCCTCCACAAGGGCAGGCCGGGATGGGAGGGGAAAGGGGCGCTTACCCTGCGGCGATCTGCATTCTTCTCCTGATCTTTTCTGTCTGGCAGCATTAAGGAGGGCATAGACCGGACCGTCATGGGGATCCTGGTGTCCTACCAGATCAAGGTGAAGCTCACGGTGTCAGGGTGAGTGTCTAGATCCCAACACCCATCTGCTCTGCTTTGGCCTGAACTGGGAGCTCTGGTGGTGTAGTCCCTAAGGCACTTGACTGCTCACCGGAAGGTTAGAGGTTCAAACCCACCAGCCATTCCTTAGAGGAAGATTGGGCAGTCTACTTCTGTAGTGATATGGCCACGGAAACCCACGGAGGAGGGGTCACTATGAGCCGGATCTGACTTGACAGCTCTGAGGTTTTTGGTTTTTTTTTTTTTTTGGTTCCTTCTCTGAAGGCTTGGGAGACAGAAAGGAAGGGAAGGTCCACAAGGTCTACTGATCACTAGGTGGACTTTCAGAGAGGCTAGATTGGGCAATCTACTTTCGTAGTGATACCACCTCAGAAACCCAAGGAGGGGTCGCTTTGACTCGGATCCAACTCCATGGCAGCAAGTTTGGTTTTTTATTTTTGGATATTTGTGTCATTTCGTTCTTACAAACAAACAAACTCACTACCATGAAGTCGAGTAGATAGTGACTCATAGCAACCTTGGGTTTCTGAGGTGGTATCTCTACAGAAGTAGATTGCCCAACCTTCCTTCTGAGGAGTGGCTGGTGGGTTTGAACCTCCAGCCTTCTAGTTAGCAGTCAAATGCCTTGGGCACAATGCCACCAGAGCTCCTACAGGAATCCTGTAATTAGAGGATCTGGACTCTTTTCATCAGACCACAGATATCCTAGAGTTTGGTGGAAGTGGCTTTCCAATTTTGTGGGAAAAAAATTTCCCATTTCTTTAATCTCATCAAAAGGGAGAAACTCTTGGATTCTCGTTTTCTTTCCAAATTCCGTAGCCCAAGGCTGTGGTCTTTTACCTAGATGACCCTTGATAATTCAGCCATTAAGAGCAAGTCCATATTTCTAAGGAGATGAAGAATTCCTTGAATTTTTGTTGGGGCAACAAAGTCCAAACATGGGCTATTTTGTTTGTTTGGTCACTATTGTGTTTGTATTTGTTGTGTTTATCAAGATGTGTAGTGTTTCCTTTCATTTTCCCTGTTTTGTTGTTGTTGTTATGTGCCATTGAGTTGGACCGACTCATAGTGACCCCTCCTTGGGTTTCTGAGGCAGTATCACTACGGAAGTAGATTGCCTCATCTTCCTTCCGAGGAGTGGCTGGTGGGTTTGAACCGCCAGCCTTTTGGTTAGCAGTCAAGTGCCTTAGGCACTACGCTACCAGAGCTCCCCTG